ACCGAATACACACTTCAAGGTGACTCCTTTCCTCTCCTCTTTGCCTTTCCCTCCCCAGTCACCCCTCATAGCTGCCTTTTCCTACCCCATAGGCCTTCCATATGAAACCCTCTACCCTTTCAAATGTGAAATGCTTTCTTTCAGCGTTACTAACTGCGTCTCTTTCTCTGCAGGTGTTATGCGATTCCTCCAAACTGAATGGCACAGACACGAACGAGATAGGAATGCGTGGGAGATTGAGCGTGCCGAAATGAAATCCAGAATTGGCAGATTGGAAGGTGATGCCCGTACGAGCAAGCGCATGCACGAAACCCTAGGAAAGCATGTTAAGATGCTTGAAGCCGCCTTGAGAATGGAACGGGAAAAGGTCCGGAGTTTAACTGCAGGAGAGCCTGTCAACTTGGCAAAAGACCCCAAGGAGCTGGCTAAAGAAAATCTCAAAGTTTTACCAACACGTCTGAGAACCCCCCTTGTTCTTACACGACCCCAGCTGACCTAATACTCTCTAGAACAACCAAAATCCCGCTCCACTCTTGTTGACCTCGAACTCAACGCCGAAAATGTCGCAAATCCAGATGTCCGCCAGGACTCCGAGCGTGAGAAGTCTCGGATGTACCTCGGGAAATGCTCCCAGGAAGTTGCCTATCATATAATTCCTGGTTCGCATCCTCCTCCTGACCTCCTCGATCAACAGGAGCTATCCGAACACGGCTACCAGAACCATCAAATGCAGAGATCGTCTCTTGAAGAAGCCTATGCTCAGCAGCAATATCAACATCAGCAGAGACAAAAGCTTCAACAACAGCAGCAACAGCAGCAGCAGCAGCATAATCACGTAAATATGGGTCGCGAACCTTCCATACATCAGCCCCTTCCTTCTAATTATTCTGAAACCTCCAATCTTGGGCGGCCCCAATTGAACCATGCTTCGCAAGCACCAGTCGAGGGGCATCCATTTCAGCAGCAACGTTCCCATTCTATTTCCATGGATCTCCGAAAACCACCATTTGATTATTCCTCCGTTGCAGACGAAGAGGTTGAATCAATAACCCATACCTTTGATTCGTATGGAAAGCAAATACCCATAACTGAATCACCTCATCCGGTCATGTCTAAGGAGCCGGTATCTGATGATGCAGATGGATGGAACTTTGATGAAAACCCTATAAATGAATTGACCCCAGCAGGTGGCCAACTCCATAGACCAGACACCGATGCGTTTCCCAATGCCAATTTTATTCCCCCAAAGTCTCCACCCAGAGGAGGTCCGGGCTCCCACAGAAGGAAAAGCTCAGGAAGACGTCGCAGCGAGGGTAATACTGATACTCGCGATCTTGCTGCCTTGAGCGGATTGAGTCCCGACGCGCCAAATTTTAAAGTTCGGTTCGCATTGAGGGGTCATCTTGATGTTGTTCGATCTGTTATCTTCACGGGTGGGGGGAGCCCATCAGAACCGGAAATATGCACCTGTGGTGATGATGGGACAATTAAGCGCTGGATTATCCCAACATCCTATGGAAGCTTCAGTTCCTACAACACTAGCTCGAACAACGATCTAGATATCACCAGTTACTTTACTCACCGTGGGCATATAGGTCCTGTCACCTGTCTTGCAGCATGCCCGCCCTCTCCAAATTTTTCGAGCGGCGGTAGGGTCCTGGGGGATGGCTGGATATTCTCAGGCGGCCAAGACGCAAGCGTTAAAGTCTGGGAACGGGGTAGGGTCGACCCGAAAGCCTCTCTGGATACCCATACAGATTCCGTGTGGGCCCTGTGCGTTCTTCCAGGTACCGTAGGATCCATCTTTGGTGATCAATGCAGTCATTATGGTGGTGTCGATCGAATACTCCTTGCATCCGGTGCTTCTGATGGCAGGATTCTGATTTGGGCTGTGAGTATGCCGCCCCAACTCGCGTCACCACAAGCCGGATCGAGAAGAGGAGGGGGTGGCAGCCGAAGGGCAAACTCCATATCCTCTGGCTCCAATTTCCCTTCCTCTCCCCAGCCAAGTACGGCCACTGCAACTCCATTTCACTACACCCTAATTCATCATATCATTCGACCTGATTCTCCTTCCCCTACATGCATCAGTCCCTTGTCACTTTCTGGTGTAAGTTTTGTCGTTTCCTATGCCGATGCTTGTATTATCATCTATGACACTCGTTCAGGGGAAGAAATCGTTGGGATGGCTAGTCTGGAAACTTATGATGGAACTCGTTCCACTGGTGTTAACTCCGTAACTGCAAGCACCATGGGCTTTGATGGGACGGCCAACCTGGATCCAAATAGGGCTTTAGCGGAGGAGGAAGCCGTCGTCCACGGTGCCACTGGAACTAGTGGCGGAGTTGAAGGTGTCATTATCAGTGGTTATGAGGACCGCTATATTCGATTTTTTGATGCCAATAGCGGTAAGAATTATCTCCTATCTGCCTTTCTATTTTAGAAACAGAAGTTCGCTAATCGTATCATAAAACAGGCCAGTGCACATATACAATGCTCGCCCATCCTGCTGCTATCTCCTCTCTCTCTCTATCACCAGATGGGCGTGAGCTCGTCTCTGCGGGACACGATGCAAGCTTGCGCTTCTGGTCGCTAGAGAAACGAAATTGTACTCAAGAAATCACTAGTCACCGGCTAATGCGAGGTGAAGGTATTTGCTCCGTTGTTTGGAGTCAAGATGGGAGATGGGTTGTGAGTGGTGGTGGGGATGGAGTGGTAAAGGTCTTTTCAAGATAATGTCATGGCTTGGAAACCCAGTCCGCTCTACCTTATTATTGCCCATCCTTCCCTTCCTCGCCTCCCCCCCAATATCCCATTTTCTTTCTTTCTTTCTTTCTTTCTTTTTCTTTTTTGATTTCATGATCGGATTCAGAGGGACTGCGGGCATGGTTTTCTAGTCTAAGTTGCGTCTGACATTCTTGCCTTGCTCAATCAGGTTGGTTTTCTTTATTCATTTTCAATCTGTTCTGTATGTTCATCATTCCTTATAAACCACTTGTCTACTTTTCGCATTCATTTGTCTTCTTTTCATTTCAGTTCATTCATGTTTCATTTTTTAAGATGTGTTTTTCGCTCAGCATCTATACATTTTCTTGGACACTATTTAAATAATACAGATGGTCATCATCTGTTATTGCTGTGTTTACATCCTCCCTCCTGACGATACCCCAATACCCTTCGTCAATAGCCGGTGGAGCTTATTAGAAGAATTATTAATAATATTATTAAATCCTGTTAGAAGCACTTTTACTCTATGCTATCTTCCCTTGTTTTGGCACAGGTATGTCTGATAGCTGGAGACGCAAACAGTGGTGTATTTGCATTTGCTACTCCCTGTCCCATTTCATGTTGTCTTCATCTCCATGGGCATTTTCTCTCTTCCAAGTGTATTAACATGTATCTATTCTTATTCCCATCACTACTTAAATCCGCTTGAATCTTATCGCTGTTTCCTCTCAGAATGAACTGATATTATAATGCAACATGCTGCCAATGGAAAAGACAGTACTCAAACGTCTAATGCTCTTTGGAATTCGCCATGTCATGTTACACATCGTGTAATAACTGATATTGAAGGCGGGGCAATGAATATACAGTGGACGAGATTTCTTCGTTCAACCCCCAACCACGATCCCAAAAGGTTCCACAAGCATCTACTCCTGTCTGGACATCCATGCGTTTCTAAATATAGTTTTAACCTGAGATACCTGTTCTGGGTCTTTCAACTTTGTCGATACAAAGGCGTCTAAATCGTCCCAGAACTCCTCCGTTGAGAGTACGTTGTGCGCATAGGTTTGAGAGCTTTGAGCAGGATTCTGGTCATCAAGGGTTGGGACTGGGGTTGGGGATGGCTCTGACAGTTCCTTCGAGGGAATCCGTTCGTCCTCCTTGGAAGCTACAGGAGCGAGCGCAGCAGCTCCACCGAGGACCATGACACCGAACTCAATACCATGGCCGCCAGATAATGCAGCATAATCATTACCCAAAACATCAGTCAATGTCTGCCCCTGAACGGGTTTCTTATTCCAGAGTATCTTTATTTTATCCAGAGGCACGCTGGCAGACTGATTGTTTTCGGTCGTGGTGTGTATCCTTGTTTGAACGGCTTCTTTTAGTTCCTTCACTGTCGTAGACGAGATGGTACGATTATCCAACGTAACATGTAAAACCGGATTACGGGCAGACTTCAAATGTATAGCTATTGACTTGGAAGACCCTGGGATACCCGCTCGTTTTATCTTCTTTGGCATGGAGGGATGGGGATCAGAAAGGGGGGGGAGAGTGAGCTGGAAACGCCAGAAACGATTGTTAGGCTTTTATAATTTCATACAGAGTGATGATTGATTTTTTCTTACGGGATGCGGAGCCGGGAAGCTCTGGGGATCAAACACGTAGTCGGCGGGAAGCTTCACAGGCCGTGAATCAAGAGCCGTGAGGAATGACTTGGTAAAGGTAAGCTCCGCCATTATGTATTGGCAAACTACCCTTCTCCAGCGAATCGTGAAATCGGGGTGATTTTAAGATGTCGGAAACAACTATTGGAGCAGCGCAGGTCCTTGGAGTAGAGGCAGCCTGAGAATATGATTGCGCAAATGGAAGCCAGAAACAAGAAGTACAGAAGAATAGCAACAGTGAAAGTTTACTTATCACCAAACTGCTCATAATTGCTTGTTGGAAACCTTTAACTGCGGCGAAGAGCCCCCCACTATATTTATACGGAGTGAGCTGAGATCTCGGCTATCACCAACGACTTAATAGTTAAATTTGGGCGAAGCTACTATTCCCAATATGGCATATTCTGCCGAATTGTTTTTCCGTAGTTTGCAACATACAAAAAAAATACAAGTTGGTTAACTATTTAGTTAACAGTTGGTTGACTTAAAAAAAACTTAGATAACCTCTCAATACACCGAACTCCAGGCATAGGAACCCCCGCCCAGTTCTCGTCCGGTTAACCCTCCTGCTGGACCAACAAGATCCAATTTCTTAGTTTCATTCAAATGGGCGTGGGACGCCGCATGAAAAAACAGGGTCCTCCCCCATCCATAGACGAGTCAAAAATTTCCTCCCTGAAACGACGCAAAGCATCGGATGCCGATGATGCGCTTCATGAAGGGAAGAAGCGTTGCACAGAGAGCAATACACGTGAAAGGCATGGCCAACCGGCCGGTAGCCGTCGTGTCAGGCGGAAAAAATCAAGTGCAAAAGTGAATGAGGAACAGGCAGTGTCGAAGCTGCCCCCAAAGTCGAAACCCAGCCCGAAAAAGTCTGTCCACTTGCAGGATACGGGGAACTCTGACAGTGATGTGGAAGATATTCTGCAAGATGAGTTTGAAAACCTGGAAAGTGTCAGCGACGATGGCGACGGTTTCGAATCCGCACCCGAAAATTCAGATAGAGATGGTGTTTTAGATTCAGCGTTTGACTCAGAAGAGGATCATCCCCGCGAGGCTATGTTTTCAGAAGACGAGGATATATCCGATGCAGAACAGCGGCTTACTGCTGCCAACATTGAGGGTCTGTCAAAGAAACTGGATTTGGAAGCGGATGCTACTGCGGAGAAGTCACGATTAGAACTCAAAGAGTCTGCCATCCAAACCAACATTGAAGGTGATCGTTTAGATATCTATGGGGATAATGACGAGACCCTTAAACAGGTGGGGCTCGCCCCGGACCTACAACTCCTTCGGAGTCGCATAATGGAGTCAATTCGTATCCTCAGCGATTTATCGACACTTGGACAAACTGGCAAGTCCCGTGCCGACTATACTAATCTCCTTCTCGCCGACATATGTACCTACTATGGCTACACTCCATTCTTGGCCGAAAAGCTATTCAACCTGTTTCCCCCCCGCGAAGCATTTGCGTTTTTCGAAGCCAATGAATCTCCCCGCCCCGTTGTCATCAGGACAAACACACTACGAACAAATCGCCGCTCCCTAGCCCAGGCCCTGATCAACCGCGGCGTCGTCCTTGAACCCGTGGGGAAATGGTCCAAAGTAGGTCTACAAGTTTTTGAATCCTCCGTTCCGTTGGGTGCTACCCCAGAATACCTTGCTGGTCACTACATCCTCCAAGCCGCTTCGTCCTTCCTCCCAGTCATGGCGCTAGCTCCCCAGCCCAATGAGCGAATTCTCGACATGGCCGCTGCTCCTGGTGGTAAAACAACATACATATCTGCATTAATGCGCAATACAGGTTGTGTACTCGCAAATGATGCCAGCAAACATCGTGCGAAAGGGTTGATCGGTAATATCCACCGACTTGGATGTAAAAACACCATCGTCTCACATCTAGATGCGGGGGAAGCCTTCCCAAAGATTCTAGGGGGGTTCGACCGTATCTTGCTTGATGCACCTTGCTCCGGTACGGGTGTCATCTCAAAAGATCCAAGCGTCAAAACCTCTAAGACGGAGCGTGACTTTCTCGCTCTACCCCATATGCAAAAGCAACTGCTACTAGCCGCCATCGATTCCACAGACCATGCGTCTAAAACTGGCGGATATATTGTCTACTCCACTTGCAGTGTAACAGTAGAGGAAAACGAAGGCGTGGTGCAGTACGCCCTCCGCAAGCGACCAAACGTGAAAATCGTGGATACCGGTTTGGGAAATTTTGGAACTCCGGGCTTTAAAAGCTATATGGGGAAGAAGTTTGATGAAAAAATGGCCCTAACCCGACGCTACTACCCGCACCGGGAGAACGTTGACGGCTTCTACGTTTGCAAGTTGAAGAAGACTGGCCTGAGTCCTTACGCAAGTAAATCCGCAAGCGGTTCAAATGCAAACGGCGGCTTGATGGCTGCGGCAGACGACACTGAGGAAACAATTGACAGAACGCCCATCGTAGGCGAGGAGAAGGAGAAACAAATACAAGAACAAGTGTTCGGACCGTTTGATGAGGACGAGGACGCGACATATATCTCGAGGGCGGAACGAAATCAGCTACGGAGGAGGGGATTAAACCCTAGGGCGGTGCTGAAAGGGAAGCCAAAGAGCACCAAGGTATCAAAGACCACAACTAAGAAAAGTTGATGTCAACTCCCGCTTGTCGAGGACCGAAGCAACTTTATGGGTCGAAAAGCTTCTAAGTTGACCTCAGGACGACGAAAAGATTTATAAGACAGAGAAGTGAGAAGGCATCGAGCTGATAATGTGAAGGAAACGCCAGAAGTTAGTGTGTAGATTGAAATATGAAAAAAGACAAAATAAAATAAAATAAAATAAAATGAGAGGGGAGCGGGGAGGGGGGGTGGAAGAG